CCTTTGGGAGCTTAAAGTTCATTAATCATTTATGCTGTTTAAGATTTATAGAGGGAAAAAAAATTGCTCAATTATTTTTTTTCTCTAAATCTTTTGAAATGTGTGTAAATTTTATGTGGTTAGAGCATTCAATGATTCTTTATTATAATTAATTCAAGCAAATGTAACATGAGACTTGTAGATCTTTTAACATTTAGGCTGCATGGTTAATATTAATGATAAAAGTAATAGTAATGTAAGCTTTTAAAAATGTAAAGGTATTATCAAAACAACGACAAAATTATGAGAATAAAAACTAGCACTAGCATTCAGATGACTTTTCTGTGAAGGCAGTACATCATCTGCACTTATCCTCCTCATCACTGCTATTTTCATCACTCTCATCGATGTCACAGTCATTATACATTTCATATTTGTCTAGATTTCCATCCATTTCCTTAATCTTCTAGTTGATTTCACATTTTGTTCTGTGTTCATGCTCGTATTCTCATGGGGAATGGGAGGTCGAGAGATGTTTTTCCATGACAGAGAGATGCCAAATGACTGACAGAGGTGTTTGTTTATAAAATGTAATAGCAAAAAAGGAAAATCTTTAACTTAATGGCAGGAGAGAAAAGATAAACATTTGAAGATTTTCTCTAATTGTAACTTTTGTGTCTTGTCCTCATTTGGTGGTAAGCATGGCCTAATGGTTAAATAGCTTTGAAATCATTCCAAAACCATTTACTTAGCATAAATAAGAAGGGGGTTATAAAGGATTGAGCATTGATTTTATATATACGGGGCTTTAAAGATGCTCTTCGTTGAGAGACAGGATGTAAACAAGGCCTTCTACCTCCCTGCTATTTTATAACATTTTCTTTTTGTGCTCTCTTGAGATTCATATGTTTTCCTTACACAATGTAAGTTTTTGTTTTGTTTTCTTTTTGTCAGCTGTGCAAAACAAAATATGCCCGATAAAATGCATTACCCAATAGCTCCATATATTGACAGCTTTGTTCCTGTCTCTTGCTGTCATACACTTACCCTTGTTGCTTAGAATGAGGCCTTTACCATTGCTATAAGGTTTTTCCAAGGCCCAGACATAGTAGCATAATAATGTGATTGAACAACAGTCAAAGAGCAAAGCCCAGGATAAAGAAAGACTAGAGACATATATTCCATGAAAAGGGCCCACTACCTTGTCACTTCATAATTGCAGGTCTGAGGGTTGGCAGAGCTTTCAGAAGTTCCATCTGGCAAAGATTTAAGATAGTATTGCATCATTATGCTCACTAAAGATTATAGCATGTTTCTTTGTATGTGTTGCTTCTTATCATAACGATAGAATTGTGATTACTCTTAATTTTTAAAGTGAATTTTGTTGCAAAAGTAGAATGCCTACATGGCATTCATATTCTCATCAATAAGTGATTTTCACAAAATTTTGAATATTGCATTTTATTTTGACTACCTGGTGCATATGTCCATTACTTTGAATACTTAGCAAGTTGATATGGTCGAGCATTATTCTTACTCTTCTTCTTACCGTGTTACAGCCGTGCCGAGACACCTCTGGGGCAGCCATTGCAGTGTTCACCGCCCGGCTTCATGACCCTCGTGCCACCACCCAGCAGACGACGCTGCAGGGAGTTGTCTACCAGTTAGACGCTGCTTTAGAGTCGAGAGAGACCCAACGATGCGGGCTGATTTTCATCTATGATATGAGCGAGTCTGCATACCAAAATTTTGACTATCAGTTGTCACAAAAAATACTTACTTTATTGAAGGTAATGTATGATGTAGAAATTAAGAATATTAAATTTTGGATTATGATTATCATTTGATTAATATTTGATTTACCATTTTTACAGTTGCGATAACAGTTAGCTTTTGAAATTGTAAGGATGGTGATTATGATTCACTTATAATCATTATTATTATTATTATTATTATTATTATTGTTATTATTATTATCATTAATGTTTTTCTTGTGGTTTCCTTGTAGGGCGGATATCCAGCACGCTTGAAAAAGGTACTGATAGTAACTGCGCCTTTGTGGTTCAAGGCACCTTTCAAAGTTCTGCGTTTGTTTGTGCGAGAGAAGTTGCGTGACCGCGTGTACACTGTTTCTCTTTCTGAGGTATGTGTGCAGATTGAAGATTTGTTATTTATGAAAATATTGAGGAAACTGTGTCTCATTGTCCATCGATTCTTATTCTTTCTTTTCTTAGTAGTATCTTATTTCATTCCTCCTTCTTTTTTAAATAATTGGAGATCCATTAATTTTTTTTTTTTTTTTTTTTTTTTTTTTTTTTTTTTTTTTTTTTTTTTTTTTTTTTTTTTTTTTTTTTTTTTTTTTTTTTTTTTTACTTTAAATTTTCCTCTCAGAGTTTTTACAAACAATATGCTAACATCACCCTTCCTTTTTCCAGCTTGTAAATCATATACCTGGGGATTGTCTGCCAGTAGAACTGGGAGGGAACCTCATCATTGACCACAACGCGTGGTTGTTACGGTGCCTTGCCTCCATGCCCAACAGGCACCCGTCCCTCTTGTGCGAGTCTGAACTCCCTCTGCCGCCCCAGTCTGCCCTCTGCTCTCCAGGCTCCCAAAAGCACTCTACGATGGTACCTACAGCAGACCACGATCCAAATCTGTCATCGCAGGATCAGGTAAAAGAGAGAGAAAAGAATGCTGATTCTTTTGGTTCAGTAGGAATTGGTTGTAATTTAAGAAAGGAAGAGGTGGATAGATCATTTCTTTTCTTTTTTTTTTTTTTTTACTGTTGGACATATTTTGATTGAATTAAATTGATGAGCACTTCTTCCTTGTAACAGTTATGTCCAGAGTTCAGTGATGATGACCGGAGTTCTTGTGAGAAAAGCTTCTCCCATGATGAGGACGACTTGGAAGAAGCTGATGATCTAGACACAGAAGAAAGACTATCTAGTCTGACGACTGTGGAGGAAAAGACAGCAAGTGAAGATGGAAAGCAAAAGGAAGATGAAAATGAGCACAGCTCAAGTCTAAAGGAAGAATGCTCCCCAGAGCCAGATAGACAGAATACTGTACATCTTAATGGGCATGTCATGCATGACAAGGAGCGACTCAGTGGTAAGAAATATATTTTATAGCAATATCTAATTTTGTGAATTCCTTGAAATATAAATGCATATATTTGGCAATTTTCTTTCCCTAAAGTGAATGATATGCAAGTATCACATCAGATCAGTTTAGTAAATGGTAGAAATAACACTATAGATAAGTTCCCTGATAGTTCCTGATTGTTGGAAAAAGAATCATCCCATCATTTTGAGATTCACATCCTGTTTGTAAAAGTTTTAAGTAGAATGTCATGATATTTTAGATATTGAATAAGATACTAGTAAGAGTATTAATGACAGTACCTTGCTGAACCCTTTTGGTTTATAGTGCTGTGCTTTTCCCGCCGTGGGTGCTGGATCCTGAATTAGTATGGAAATTATTTTTAGGACAATTGGACAGTTTTGAAAATGTTGCAAGGCTTGTCTAATAAACTTCTCAATTTGCAGGAAGGGTTTCTCCTCTTGCTCCGCCAAGCAGTGGAAGCAGTGGGTTTAGTGACGACGACAGCCTTCACTACGACGATGGGCGGGGGCTTTCCCTGGAGGAGTTTGTGCGTCACTTGAGAGACAAGGGACGGCAAGGGCTCTACCATGACTATACACAGATAAAGAGTCGACCCCCGGATGGAACTTTTGAGAATTCCAGGTAAGTTATGAGAAAGACCTTTGTTACATCACTCCAGTTTCTCGTGATTGTCACAATTATTATCATTATTTATGTTATATCTATGAATTGCTGTAGTTATAGTTGTAGTTGTAGTAGCAGCAGCAGCAGCAGCATTAAAATCCCTCTTCCACAGGAAAAGATGGAACCAGATTAAAAATAGATACACAGACGTCCTATGCTTTGATCACTCACGGGTAGTTCTGAGTGCAGAGGATGAAGAGGGGCACACTGACTACATTAATGCTAACTATGTTGATGGTTACAAGCAGAAGAATGCCTTCATCTCTACACAAGGTGATTGTTAGAAATATATTTAAATCCTGTGGGATGAAAATCACTAGCTAATTCATTATTCAGCTGTATGATTGTTTATTGCCATAGACAGGCCAGTATTTTGCCTTTTAAAGTCTCACCCTTTGAAAGACAGGTATCTGATTTCAAATGCTATACTACATATGTGATATAACTAGTGTCATTGATGCTGGGTAGACTGGCAGTGATATAAGAATTTAAAAACTGACATTTCTTTGTAAATAAACATGTTTAATCTCCTAAAAGGTCCTTTACCTGGAACATTTGGAGACTTCTGGCGAATGATCTGGGAGCAGAGAGTTTGTGTAATTGTGATGACCACCAGAGCAGTAGAACGAGGAAGAACCAAGTGTGGGCAGTACTGGCCAGTTGAACAGGATGGTCAGGTGTCGCATTCGCATTTTACTATCAAGAACACCCATGTCTATCAGTACAGGGATTACACTGTGTCTGCTCTTACGATTGTAGATAATAAGGTAAGTGTCACTACATATATGTTTTTTATTTTTCACACTTACACTATTAGGCATATTTAAGCAACATACTGTTTGTTCATTGATGGTATGTTGAAATTATTTGATTTCCAGAATATTTAAGAATGAGAAATACAACATACCAGGTATGAAGGTGTTGATAATCTTTTTATTTTCAACATTTTAGAGTGGTGATGAGAGGAAGGTAGAACATATGCAGTTTACTTCCTGGCCAGACTATGGTGTCCCAGACTCTGCAATGGCCATGCTAGAATTCTTAGCCCATGTTCGGGAAGCGCAAGCTCGCCTCACGTCAAGCCTTGGAGATAAATGGACTGGCCATCCCCTGGGACCTCCCATTGTAGTTCATTGTTCAGCTGGCATTGGTAGAACAGGTATGTTGCTGAGTATAATTATAACAGGAGATTTTGGGTGCTTTTTTATGTGTAATTATCTTTCTTTGTCTTTCTCCCTCCAGTTGCCATATCATGAGGATTGTTATTACTTTCATTACTGGTTTTGATTTCTGTTTATGGTCTGTTGGAGACAATGGTTAGTATCTACTTGAGCTTCTGTTGGATATTACTGACCTTTGTTGAATAATACATTTTTATTTTGTTTTATCTAACAGGAACCTTCTGCACCCTTGATATATGCATCCGCCGTTTAGAGGAAGTGGGAACAATAGAGGTGAAGGGAACGGTGGAGAAAATCCGCTCTCAGAGAGCCTACTCCATCCAGATGCCAGACCAGTATGTGTTCTGCCACCTGGCTCTCTTGGAGTATGCCTTACACAATGGTAAATTAGTGGAGGTTGACCTCACTGGCTTCGAGGAAGATGGTTCTGAATCCGATTAATTTAGACTTCTACTATTGCATAAGTGAAGGACAATAATAACTTGTTAGCCTTATCTGTATTGAATTTTTTCAAGGCCACAGAAATATCACTTTTTAAAAAAAAAGGTGGGACCATATGGCTAAATGACTACATATGTATCTGGTTGTTTGGTGCAAGTGTCTACAAGTGAGTGTTGTATACCAGACAAGCACGGGGAGAAACTCGTCTCGTGCCTGAAGAAGCAACAGTGAATAAGGCATGGTGGTGTGTGTTTGCAAGAATGGAAACTTGGACTGCAACTTGCCAGACGACCAGAAGCACGTTACCTCTTTGATAGCCACTAGGTGCTCCTGAGTGCTTTTGTTTGAGTGATTGTTATTGATGTAAATCCGAAGTCTTGAGTTTTGACATTCACTGTTTGATGTACAGAAAAAAAAAGAGGAAAAACTTTTCATTATTTATTTTATTGGGATTATTGTCATTATTATTATTGTGATTGTTATTTGATCCTTATTTCTTTCTTTTTCATAAGCCTTCTCTCCTTTTGGGGGAAGGTGCACATATCATATTATATACAGTAAATACAACTTTTATACATGACTCACGAAGTTCACAGTTTGATAATTCTTATGTATTTTTATTGCTGATATTATTCTTATAATTGTTATTATTATTATTATTATTATTATTATTATTATTATTATTATTATTATTATTGTTAATATTGCTATTATTACTATTAATATTATTATTATTAATATTATTATTATTGAATATTCTTATCATTATCATTATTATCATTGTCATTATCAGAGTTATTATTATGATTTATTATTAATTATTACTACTAGCATATTGTTAATGATATTACTGTTACAGTTACTGGTAATTATCATCAATATTATTTTACTTAATTGAAGTACTTTCCAATATTCATGGTGTCTGAAGTGCCGGCATGTATGAGAGAGTGAGAAATAATGGAAACACAAATTATGTATTATCATTGGTTACACTTAAAGATATTAAGGGACGTAAATCATGTTATCATTCCATTGGGAGGCGGGTATGTGTATCAGGCCACAACTAGAATATAAATTAGACAGATGTGCAATTGCAGTGCATTGGACTTATGTACAAATATTTGAACGTTTAGGTGCCAATTCCTAGGAAACGGTCGTAATCAAAATTACTTAAGATGTGGAAAATGAAGGAGAAGGATGATAATGGAGGTATAGTATGATGAAAGGAAAAACAAAAATATTTAGAATTGAATTTACAGCTATTATTGTTGTTAATATTGTTTTACTTATTATTATTATTATTAATTCTATTCTTATAGTTCTTAGTTGTTTTTATAATCATTACTGTATAATTATTAGTTTTTATTATTATTATTATTATTATCATCATTATTAGCATTATCATTATTATTGCTGTTGTTTTTGCCAAAATAATGTACCATGGAAGGAGTCAGCATTACTGCCATGCGAGATCTTTTGTCTGTTTTTCATATTTCTGTTCCTCTAAAAGATACTGCAGTATTTGGAAAGAAGTTTCTGGTTGATAGTTTAGAAACACTTTCGTTTTTTCCTTTAAAGTCTTGGTGAATTTAGTTGGAAAAATTCTATTGGAATATGTATTACCCTTAGCAGAAGAACTTGAATAAGCCAATGGGACACACTTTTGTAGTGTAATATATATATATATATATGTATGTATATATATATATATATATATATATATATATATATATATATATATATATATATATATATATATATATATATATATATATATATATATATATATATATAATATGTACACACACACATGCACACACACGCATACAAATGCCAAAATTAGTGAATGCAGGATGTACAATGTTTTTTATTCAGAAATATGGTCTTGAGCAGCCTTTCAGTGCTTTTAAGAAGTTTTTTTCATGAGACACTGCCCTGGTTAATTATGTGAAGCCTTCGTCATAATCTCTTAATGACTAATGACAAAAGCATTTAAACAAACATCAGATAGATTTTGGCTTACTGTGATCTTTCATTGTTTATTCTTTGTGTTGATAGGTCATAGAACAGGGAAAAAATTATATATGGAGCACGAGTATGAATTTCTTTATTTATATATTTATTAATTTGTTTTGTTTTGATATTTCCTGATTGTGTGAAATACAATATTAAATTAACAATGCCAAGTTAAGTTCTTTTTATGATTCAGTAATTCAGAAAGACCTTGGTATGTATCAATGCTGCTGAGTTGCCAGATGCCTTTTTTCTTAGTAAAATTTTACATTGCAATCACTAATTTGGCTAAGTAGACCTAAACATGCACATGTACATATACATACACATATATGCAGACATACACATATGTATGACTATGTATGTATGTATGCATGAATGAATTTGTTTATTTATTTTGGCAAATTCGTCAGGTGTGTGTGTGTGTGTGATTTGTCAACCGTTTTTATGCATAATGGTAGTCACACTAAGCACTTCTTGTACTTCTAAATTCATGCCCACCTGCAGGGAATTGACAGTCACTGCTTAGTTGATTAGTCTTCACCTTCTCATGCTGTTTTGAAAAGTAGTGATAAGAATGTTGCACTTCAATTTTTTTTTATTATTTTTATTTTTTTTTTTTATTTTTTGCTTTACTGAAAATAACGTGTTCCTTAGACGATCTGAAGATTGGTGATCATAACTTTTAGGTTTTCGTGATGAAATTAAACTGGCTCTAATGAATGGTACAGCTTTTAGGCTTGTTGCATCTTAAAGTTTTGTATTTGTGCTGTAATCGGTACAAAGACTTCGACAGAGTATGTGTTTCTTAAACTTCACATTTGATTAAAAAAAAAAAAAGAAAAGAAAAAAGAAAAAGGAAAAGTAATCATACATTGTAACCTTCCATCTCAGGGTGAATTCCCCATGTCTTTTCACTCGCGGACTTTGTTGTCGTTCCTTTTCTCGTAATTTAGTTTTGTATGACTAATGATTGCTCTTTGCTACTCTGCATGTACAGTACTTTTATCAAAACTAGAAATATAAAAGTTATTTTTTCTAAAGATTAATAAAAGGATTTTTTCTGATCACCAGTAGGAATAGACTGTGTGAAGAAATGGATTTGAACCTCGCTCACTCTTTCTCTAACATATGAGATGTTAATTTATAAATAATGGTTGAATGGATGATGATGATAATTATTGCATTCAGCTGAGAAGGGGAAGAGAAACTGGTCAATAAAATGCATATGCTCTTTCCACGTGTAACTGATAAATTGCTGATCTGAGATGTTTATTCGATGTCTGTCGCGGAAAGATCAGGAGGAGCACTTTTTAATGTTTGTATACTGCACTTGCCAGACATTTTTCGGTTCTATTTGGATCATCATCATCACTGGTATTATTATTGTATTATTATTTTTATTATGATTATACTTATTGTAGTTGATCATATAATTATTATTATTATCATCCTAATTGTACTTATTGTGGTGATTATAATTATTTTGTTGTTATTATTATTATTATCATTATTATTACTGATCATTATTTGTTGTTTATTATTTTTTTCATTCACTTCTACAACAGGTACTACTTTAAACTACCAGTAATAAAAGGTTAATTTTCATCATTCTTATAACAATAATTCATCTTTATTTTTGAATACAGTGGTGTTTTACAGCCTCATGTGATCATTTGTGAGTATGTAATAACAAATAAAAACAGCATTATGAGGGTATAATATGTAAGTGTAAATTGTGTACATTGATAATGCTACAAATATAGTTGTTGTTTGTAAGCTATTCTTGTTAATAGTGTATATACTTTAAACATACCTTGTAAATCTTCTATACAAATAGGGATTCCTTTTTGTGAGTTTGACTTCAAGCATTTGGGTAAATGTTGAGGGTATTTATGTGAGATACAACCTATGATATTCAGGATTTGGTCACTTGTTCTTGCATTGGCCTTGTTGGGGGTCAGTGGTGTTAAAGATCCCAAGGGAAGAAATGCAGTTGATATTGGTTAGGAATGGCAACCCCGTTATAGTTTTGGTCAGTGTGATGTCTTTTTTGTTTTTTGTTTTTGTTTTGTATGTTTTTCGCTCTTTCAGTATTTGGAAGGGACGGTTTATACACTTACCTAGAATGATCAGAAGACTATTTGTTTTTTATTTTTTTTTTAATGTAATTTTTTTTGTTAAATTGTTTATTGCTTTACTTTTTTTCATTTTTTGGATCTGGATAAGGAGTTTTATTTCCAGGTGATAAAAGTGAACTACTTAGTTTTTATTTTCAGATGTACACTTTCTTGATCTTCAGTTGTAATAAACATAAGGTACAAAACTATTAGGTAAAGATTATTGTGGCCTAAGAAAAGAAAAAGAAAAAATATCAGAATAATTGTCTATAGCCAATATTTATTTCTCCTGCAATGAGAATACATACGTTGTACGACCAAGATTTTCGACTGAGTGTGGGGTATACCATGGAATGCATCGCACAACTCAAGTGTATGAGTGTCAGGTGTGACTCATCACCAAAGATGTAACTTTTTATAATACTTTTGTACATACTAGTCAAATATCTAAATAAAATCTTCTTTCTAAAA